CACATTTTGTAATATAGCTCTTCAATAAAGACACTGATTGACTCTGTAAATGCGGGACAACACAGCTTATACATCAAAGATAACATGTACCTACCTAATCTGGTTAAAATGACCACTTTCAAAAAATATAAAATACACTCAAGCATTCAGAGAGCCACCATTTTAGCCAAGAGCATGGCACACAGGATATGACATCATCCTTTGATCTTGTACAGCTTTAATTGGATACCGACTTCCTGTTTCTTATCCATGTGTGTATGTAGTATCTATGATCTAATGTGACGAGAAAGTGTACGAACCGGGCGCGGGTGAAATTGACAAGTTGTCAAATTCCAATTCCTAGATAGTTAGCCACACCTAGTCTATAAATCAATTATAAATAAATAATAATATTATTAGATAATGAATCAAAAATGATAGATCTAATTATGATTGTGCAGTAGAACAGCAATCATAATTACGGACATGTGTTGCATCAATAATAATAATATAGCCCTATATAATATCAATATTGAGATCATCATACAACTTTTTTAACAAAAAGGGAGTCCTTAGTCCAGCATATTGCATATCCACTCTTTCCAGTTCCCCTGTCCTTAAAACGAGTGAGAATTTGATCCTGAAACGAGCCCCCTCCCACCATGACTAGCACCTTAGCATTAGATATTGCACTCTGCTCTACTAATGCTACAAACCCTTGATCAGTCCAGCCGCCATGTTTCTCAGGGTCATAATGAATATGGTTTATCTTTCTGCGTGCAAACTGCCTCTTGCTCACTCTTTTACCCAGGCCTATCTCAGACGAATGACTGCCATAAGTACCAAAATCCACAAAATACTTGATGGGTAGTTCTGGAAACTCCTTCTGTAGCTTTGAAATTAGTTCCCAGGTCATGTCAAAACACTTGGTAGAGAGTTTTTTCCGAGATACATAGTCTAACATTCCTAGTTTAGCTGTCCTGATATGGACACCAATGAAGTCTTTGCCTTCAGATATTTCATGAGAATAGGCAGTCACATTTGAGAGTAGCCCATTATTCAAAGGGTAAGATATATCACTTGACACAGGGCGATGTAAAACTGGTGAGTCCTCGGGTACGACTAGCCTAAACTTCTTTGTAGGGAGCTCACTATAGCCACGCCAAATTGGTATGACAACCGTAAGACTTTCGAGGTCTTGGAAACCACATTTACTGGCCATTTCCTCAGGAGTCGTCAAATGACGATGGTTCACACAACAGGCAGCATCAACAGTAAAACTAGGTAAACTCCTCTCACTTGCTTCAGCGTTTAAATATGATAAAAGCCTCGAAGAGAAATCCTTAAAATAACTATGACCAAGACAATTAATGTAATGATTATCGTCACTAAACTCTTTTGCTGTTGGAATTTGCTTTCCGTAGGCATTGAAGTTAAAATGGAGTAGTCTAATACTTCTATTTGCATTTAGCATAAACTCTTCAAAGTCAGCTAATGGTGGTATATTGTATTGTGAACAAAGCATATGTGAGTTAAATAAAGTCATATTGAAAAGAGAGTCGAGTGGTTTTGCCGGTCCACCCTTATAAATGGGAGGCATCCCATGAAATACTGGATAGTGAGCAGTTGAAGGCAATCCCCACATCTCAGCATTACGAGTGAATGGCTCTACAGTCCTAGCGTGCCAGTGTCTTGAAAAGGCAGTTAAGGAACACAAATTGGTAGTGGCCATTGTTAACTGTTCCCAATAGCTGAGACCAAGTACAAAACTATTCATTGAGATGTTGTACTTCTTAATGACATCATTACACGCTTCAGTAGAAATTCCTATGTCTGTTGGTTTTGCATTTGCACTAGAGTGGATAGGAGAGGAGGAGCTACTCGTCTCGTTAAAGTTTATAGTATTTAAGGGATATGGGAAGGTTAAATTGTTTGTGTGCCTCTTCACAGCCACAAAGTTATGATCATACCTCTGATAGTAAAAGACGAGAGAGATTATGACGAGGAGTATTAGGGAAAAAGATGTCTGAAACAGTTTCTTCATCTTGACAACCACAATCCTCCTCCTGATAAATTTAATCGTTTAGACGTTTACCAAAAAATTCACCACGCCTGGAAGGTGGGGCGAGGCAGTAGATCTATGCAGTCTACACGTGTGTAGTCTCAGTGCAAGGGCAGCACTCTGAGGTAATCTCGGGTAATCTCTGGATAATGGACACTACCTTTCCTCCTATGAAGAATGACTTGATTCTTCGGGTTGCTTGTGGCGAAGAGACTGATAGAACACCGGTCTGGGTCATGAGACAAGCAGGAAGATATTTGCCTGGTCAGTTTTACTTAATATCATAATTAATCTTCTTAATTTTAGAATTTCAGGAAGTCAGGAAGGAGTATGATTTTTTTACAATATGCCGGACACCCGGGTTAGCTTGTAAAATTACTTTGCAGGTAAAGTGAGACTGTTTTGGTGCTATAGTTAATATTTTTTAATATTTATATTTTATTTCTATTTTTAGCCACTTGATAGATTTGACCTAGATGCGGCAATCATTTTCAGTGATATATTGGTCATACCTCAAGTAAATTATTGCATTTTTATTTATTATTATTATTATTATTATTATTATTATTATTCATTATTATTGCTTTTATGATAGGCAGTTGGTATGGAAGTCCAAATGGTCCCAGGAAAGGTAATTTTATTGTTAACGTGTCTGTCTCGTTAGAAAGTCTGATGATAAATGTGATGAGAAATTGTTCTATCCCAAAAATTTTTAATGAAATCTTGAATGCCTACCTTATTTGAAATGTAATGTCAGTTGGATTCGTTTATTCCCATTGTAGTTCATAATTAATGTTCATTTGTGAATTGTTCCTTGTCATACACTATGCAGTTTATAAATTACATCTTCCCACAGGGCCCAACTTTCCCCTCTCCTCTAAAGAATCCTGATGATTTGAAGAAGCTAACGTTCCCAGTTGACGTCAATAAAGAGCTTGGCTATGTCTTTGAGGCTATTACTCTTACCAGACATCGGCTCAATGGAAGAGTGCCATTAATAGGATTCTGTGGAGCACCAGTGAGTCCCTCATCTTCAGGGAGGGGGGGGAGGGGGCGTGTGATTTTTTTAAAATTATGCTCTAGATTGAGTACACATGTATTTTTAATAATTATTCTTCATTTAGTGGACGTTGATGTCGTATATGATAGAAGGTGGTGGTAGCCCAACACTGAGTAAAGCAAAGTCCTGGCTTTACCGTTATCCTGAGAACAGTCATCAACTCTTGAAAGCACTGACTGAGGTATATCATCTACATTTTTATGTCATTGTTCTTACGTTGTCTAGAAAATTTGAGCTGATTTCGATAAAAATTTGTTTTTCTTTGTACTATTAGTAACGTGGTAGTGTTACTAAGTAGGGTTCACCCCACTTCATAGTACAGAAATTTTGCCAAGAATGACTAGGAGAGAATTTCTATTTTTATAATTTTTTCCTGATACACATACATGTTCTTATGTTGTATATCAAGTTTGAGCTGATTTCGATCAAAATTGAATTTTTTATGAAGTTTTAAAGTTACTCAAAAATTGGGCCAAAGTCCCTGTACTATAGTACAGGGTTTTTGGCCAAATTCTGTCAAAAATGACTGTGAGAAAATTCTCTATTTTTATAATTTTTTCTGATACATATACATGTTCTTATGTTAAAATTAGATTTTTTATGAATTTTTTAACTTACTCAAAATTTGACCTGGTCAGGTTTTTGACCAAATTTCACCAAAAGTGAACACGAGAGAATTCTCCATTTTTATAATTTTTTGATTTTTATGCACACACAAAAGTATTAGTAGTAGAGTAGTATGATTTTAATCATTATCACTTTATTTAATATCCAGTACTAGTAGGATTGTGTGTACATCATTAGTAACACAGTAGCATTACTAAGTAGTAGGATTCACCCCCAAACAAAATTGCTGCCACAACTTTTGTAGCCTTGCTATATTATTATTATGATTACTCTATTTAGGTTTCAGTTGATTATCTTGAAGGTCAGGTTAAAGCTGGCGCCCAGTTATTGCAAGTATTTGAGTCGCATGCGGGTCTTCTTGGACCTGAATCTTTCTCGAAATTTTGTTTGCCTTACTTAGAGCAAATTTGTAAGTCTCTCAAGCAGCGCCTTGGTGATAAAGCTGTCCCTATGGTAAGCTGTTATTGTAACTAGTAACTACTCTTATAAATCAAATGTATTCTCAATAGCAAGTGCTGTAGTTTTTAAGCATTTTCATAGCTAAGCAGTACATATCATTTGTCCTCTTTCTTGTTTGAAGATAATTTTTGCCAAAGGAGCGAATTCTTGTCTTCATCAGTTGGCTAATATTGGCTATGATGTGGTTGGTGTTGACTGGACTATTGATCCTGACAAAGCTAGGCAAGTTTACTCATCGCAGCACACAGTCTAAGTCTCATTACATGCCATGCTTATTATTAGGTCACTGATTGGTGATTCTGTTGCATTGCAAGGCAACTTGGATCCATGCCAGCTCTACGCTCGTAAAGTGAGTTATCGTCTTGCACCAATTTAATGTAGAAGACATTATATATAATAATTATTATGTCTTACTGTAGGATGACATTGCTCGAGCAACAAGAACAATGATGGATAAGTTTGGTCGAGGGAAACTAATAGCTAACCTTGGTCATGGTATTTATCCTGATGTTAATCCTGATCATCTCAAGATATTCATCGACACTGTTCATAGTTATTCTCAGCATTAGCACCTAGTAGCATTAGCAGTAGTAGTTGCTTTTAATAACTATACAGCCATAATTATGTTTCCCATTCTATAGATGTAATGTGTTACTTTTTGCTAAAAAAGGAGCTTTTTATATCAAATTTTTTGACACTAGATATCACATTCACATCTATATTTATAGTCTGTCAATATCAGCCCCACAAAATGCAGTTTCATATGAAAGTCAATTTTTAATTTTTATTTGTTATAAAGTGATGTTGCATGTGTCTTAGTTTTCTTGTGTATCAAAGTCATCAAACTCCATTAATTCTACTTCGGTCAGTGTTGGTAGGTCCGGATCCCTTTCTTCTTTAACCTGTGGGACTTTCCCTTCTCTCACATTCCTGCTCTCAATGAAATACTGTGTTGGGTGCTCCAGACTGAAATTGCTCTGCTGGAGCTAAAAAATAACAAAACCCAAAAAGTACATGTAAATATAACAGTGTACATTTGAATTTTTAAATATCTATAATGCTCTTACATTGTGTGTGACTTCAAAGTACTTCTGACAAGCAAGTTGATAGTGCGAGTCATGAGCATAGCTTAGAATAGAAGTGACTTGAGACATGGGGACACCATAACTGACCAACATCTTGCTGATACTGTCACCATCCCAATGCTTAAAGGGGCATCCTATAAATAATATAATATATAAGTAAAATGTCTGATGATATTTTCTACTAGCCATGATGATCCCCACTGCTGGGCCCATTGGACATAATGATCTTCATACAACTACAAAAGAAAACACATACTGTAGTCACATACATTAAGATCCTGGTACCTGTATGGTGTATAGTTAGTCCTCTTTCCTTCTTTACCATAGCTGTGTCTCACATTATAAGCATATTGTTTATCAAACTAGAAGAATAAATTAGTCTATAAATAAATATACTAATTAAATATATTTATTGTTATTATTATTATTATTATATATTTTTAAAGACCTTGTCCGGCTCCATTATTTTAGTAAACTCGCTCCTCCAAAATTCCAGTGCTTGTTCTAAAGTGATGCCAATACTCTTAAGGAATAGTCCGTACTGGAGTCGTCCAAAGTGCCTCAAGTGATGCTCTTTCCTCAAGGACTCGTGAAGATTCCTCATGCAAGGAGAAAATGACTCCTTACTTAACTAAAACAAGAAATGAGTCAAATGAAGCACTTGCTTATTCAAAGATATAAATGCATGTGTATATAAGTAGCAGTAGCTGATGGACAACAGCCTAAAAACTTACAGAATCTAAGTCACTGAGTCGTATCTGTCCACTGGTTTTCATACCAGAATTAACAAAGTCTGAGCCTAAATAGTTATTCCTGTGTATAATATGAGAGAGAAATAACTACCTATAGTGAAAGTGATTATACCTGAGGGTGGTGATGGTCTTTCTCATTCTCTCGTCTTCTTTAATGAAACTCATAAAGGCAACAGTTCTCTTTGGAATGAAGAGGGAGAGAGAGAGAGGAAGGAGAAAAAGAGAGGGTTGATTTGATGGTCATGATTAAAGCTTGCTCTTACCACTAAATCCTGAGAGAGTAAACTTCTAAATTTGTTGCATATCAATGTGATTATCATGTCCGTTCTGTTCATAGGCAGATAAGCAAAACCCTACAGGAATACAAACACATGAAACCTTAAAACCATTACCCACACACATGCCCACACAATTAGTAGACCAGCTCACTTTATGTATGATGACAGATCTGTTCTGAACTAAGTCGAAAACTTCAGAAAAATGCACCTACATGTACATGTACATGCATAACATACAATTTATTAATCATTTCAGTAAATATGATGACACTTACACTGTAATATTCATTAGAAGCTTGAGTAGGCTTCTGCTTGTAGTTGTAGAATGACAACATTTCATTGCATAGAGACTATCATAATAATAATACCAAGAACAGTGAGAGAGTGTATATATACACACATGTATAGGGTGAAGAATCTGCTCACTTTATCTTCAAGGTCAGAAAACTTTCCTTCAGTGAAAGGGAAATACTCCCTGTACTGTTTTATGAAACCTTGAAAATCATCAGGAGTAGCATCATGGAGTCGATAACTACATTATAAGATTATGACAATGATTTCTATCACTATTTGTTTTAATTAATTATTCAGACCATTAGGTCGCATTTCAAAAAAAAAACATCAAGTAAATCCTTCTTCTTTTTATACTTACTTCAATAAAGCGACTTCTTGCGAGAGGAACCATCTCCTCAAGTCCTCACTGCACATTAAAACTATCAAGTAATAATAATGAAATTGTGTTGTTACCGTTCACAGTAGGCCAGTCTCAGTATGTAGTGAGATATGTGATCTCTACGACGCTCATTAATGTGCTTGTCTTTAATTTTTTCTCCCTTAAAACAAGAAATAATAATTTAGTGTGTCAATATAAGTAATCATGGTAGCTTTATGGGTTCCATTCTGGGTTTCGCACAAAGCATGCTCAGTGAGCTAAAAAGTATGTTTCATGACTTTTGGAGTAACTTTAAAAATTCATAAAAAATCTAAATTTGATTGGAATCAACTCAAACTTTCTAAACAACATAAGAACATCTATATATATCAGAAAAAATTATAAAAACAGAGAATTCTCTCCTAGTCAATTTTGATGAAATTTGGCCGAAGACCCTTTACTATAGTACAGGGACTTTGGCCCGATTTTGGAGCAACTTTAAAAAGTCATAAAAAATCTAATTTTGATTGGAATCAACTCAAACTTTCTAAACAACATAAGAACATCTATATGTATCAGAAAAAATTATAAAAACAAAGAATTCTGTCCTAGTCAATTTTGATGAAATTTGGCTGAAGACCCTGTACTATAGTACAGGGACTTTGGCCCGATTTTGGAGCAACTTTAAAAAGTCATAAAAAATCTAATTTTGATTGGAATCAACTCAAAATTTCTACACAACATAAAAACATGTATATGCATCAAATAACATTATAAAAATGCAAGATTCTCTCCTAGCCATTTTTGACGAAAACCCTGTGCAATAGTACAGGGACTTTGGCTCAATTTTGGAGTAACTTTAAAAATTAATTAAAAATCCAATTTTGATAAAAAAATTCTATCTTTGTCATGCTTTAAAAACTGCAAAAATAATAGCTGAAAGGTATGTACCTTTAACAACATAAACAATAGTCCATGATATTAATTATTAAACTGATGAAGCAAAGTAAGGACTCACAAGTGCAGGGTTCAATGTGATTGGTTTTGTTTTTTGCCCCATCAAAGAGTGAAACTCAGCGTCTGGTACATCGCCTCTCTTAGATCTCTCACGAATATTACTAACCTCTTGCAATACTGCAATATATATAATGCACGATGACAATAATTAATGAACCACACCTCATTTCACATTTTATATATGTTACCTTTTTGTCTTGTGAAAGCTACTTCATAAAGTTCATCAAGAGATATATCTTGGTTCGGTGGGATTGTGTATAGTTGAAGGTGACTTGGGTACAGTTTACTGAGTGGATGCTCCTTTACAACACGATAGTTACGATCAATCTCCATCACAAAAGTTCTCTACTTCTCGCGCCAAATTGGGAGGGGCTAAACATAAACATTTATAAATTTTATTAATAAAAATTAATGTCACCGCCCAACTTGAGCCCACGTGGTTTCAATCTTGCCTGCAGAGTAGAGCGTACTGCTCGCATAGAGCTATCAACTGAACAGAGATGATGTCTGGAGCCTACACTGACCCTAGTGAGACGGATTATATTAAAGTAAGGTGCTCAGCATGTTAATTGGAGTAAGATTTTTATTGTAGCTAAATTTAAAATTAAGGGATGTTAAGATTGAACAATAATGCAGTTATTTATATTAGCTATGTAAAAGTTTAAGTCATGGTATGTCTTGTTGCATTTCATTCAATGGATTTGTGTAACTCAAAAAGGCATTACATACATGTAGCCCTTGAATGAAAGTAATTAATATTAACGAGTAGGGTGGAGCTAATGAATAAAAAAAAAACAGGATTTCTATTGAGGCATAGGAGATATGATATTTGGTTGCAGAATATTCAGTGCACTGAATACCTTTAACTCCTACCTCTCTGCTCTCCTTAGCTTGGAATGTCAAATGCAGAATTTTACTCAAAGCTCATTGATTGCTTCCATGCAAGAGCTCTATTAAAAATTTCTTTAATTTTTTGCACAATAGGCAAAACTTCATTCCATTATGGATTATGTAAATGAGTTACAATTGTGTTACGATGAGATGCTGGAGTCCTTTGGTCAGTTTGAAGTGTCAGCCAATGAGAGGATCAAAGCATTTGAAGAGAAACTTGTTAATGCTGTAAACTATGCAAAAGTAATTCCGGGTTGTGGGGTTGGGTTCCAATTGTATTTTTATCACAATGAGTATGGATTGACATAATGACATGCTATGTAGAAAGTTTGAGCTGATTCTGATCAAAATTAGATTTTTTATAAATTTTAAAAGTTGCTCCAAAAGTTGGCCAAAGACCATGACATTATATTTGTCAAAAATAACTTGAAATAATTCTTTATTTTGATAATTTCCTTAACTCTTATGTTTATTATACATTAGATAAAAGAGTCTGAAGTGAGCGAGCTATTGGCATTGCATAATGAGATGTCCCATGAGTTGAGAAGAGAGGAAAGAATACAACACAATCAAACTGAGCAGCTGCTACTGATAGAAGAAGAACTAAAAGAAGCTAAAGAGACAATTGAAAAGCTGTATACTGAACTGAAGAAAGTTGATGGAAAGAAACTTAAAGTGTTAGATTATGATATCGATGAAATATCGTACGTGAATAAGCTCTGTGAGACTATCAAAGAGCTAGAGATTAAAAATGACAAGCTACAGCTAGAAAGGAAGCATGATAAGAAAGAGATAAGTATTCTCAATGATGAAGTATGTAGTATAACATCAAATATTTTATTTCTTTATCTCTTTGTTTTATTAGATTCGATTACTACAATCACAAAAAGATAGTCTCACTAGCACAATTGAGAATCTTCAGTCAATGGTATATTAGTGAATGGTCTAGTCTCATGAACATTAATACTGACTCTTCTTTAGTATGATGAAGTTAGTGAACAACTTAAGTCAAAGTGTGACAGTGCTGTGGAGAAAAACGTCATACTGACACAACAGGTTCATAATAAGCTCATTCACTTTATATATAAATTGTGTAACTATAGCTTGCGGATAGTAACAGACAACTCAAGTGTGCCAGGAAACGTTCATCAGAGATGGAAGCTCACTATAAGAGGTCATTTGAAAAGGTACAGGAAGAGATTGATGTACTGAGAAAGACAGGAAAAGTAAGGCTACAGTTTTCTTATAACACTTTTTAAAAATAATACTTCTAGACACAACAAAGTAGTGATAGGAGAGCCACGCATAAGCGATTGCAAGTGTTAACGCAGAAGGTCTCACACTTAGAGGCAGAGCAAGGCACTGCAGCAAGGAAACTGCAAGACACAGAGAATGTCCTGGCATCTGTTGAGCAAGAGAAAAGAGCTCTCCTTCATAAATTGAGTCAGTTAATGCTTAATTTCTTTAACTTTAATTTTTTTCCTGTACTCGATTGCTTCTACAGGTACATTGGAAGAGCAGTACAGTATATTACTTAGAAATAATTCTCAGCAGAAGTTGGAGCTCTCTCATTATCACTCAAAACTTAAGCAGCAGCACAACCAGTACTTTACTCTAAAGAAAGAATATGATGGATTGGTTAGTCGTGTTACTACTACCTCCATTAGGTAACTTAGGTTTACAGCATAGCCTGAAATAACAGACGTTTTCTGACCATTTTGTTCCAATTGTGCAACCAAATTCTGTGTTTGAATCCAAACTTGATTGGAATCAGCTCAAACTTTTATACAACATAGGAACATGTATATGTATCGAAAAAAATTATAAAATGGAGAATTCTCTCATTGTGTCTGAATATTGTTTGAATGTACTTTGTACAATGCTTTTTACATTATATTGTATTTACCATCATAGTAATGAGTGTCCTAGTCTAAGTCCTGAAGATGATTTAAAAGAATCACAAAAGGACATATACTGGTGAGGCTAGTGTACTTATGACAAGTAATTGAATTATTGTTATTAGAGTCATGAAAGGCCTGAATCATGAGCTCCCATAGAATCCAGCTTTTGACTATTTTCTTTTCATCACAGGACAGTAATAAATTTTTGAGTATTAACCTAGACACATTGCTCTACTCTTCTTATTGTTGTTATCTTGTTTCATTTATAAAATAATAATAATAATAAATTCTACTGAAACTTTAGTATACATGACGTTGTGCTAGCTCTATGCTGTTTTTATAGTCATTATGAATAGTGGCAATTGGGCATGGCCTGCATAGTGCATGCATACCAGTGGTCACATTTCCCTCCCTCCCGCTTTTTCAGGTGACAGGTGGTAACTTGTCATTTTTTAAAAGGTGGGCTTGAAACTCTTTTAAATACAATAAGATGATATATGTACCTATCTAGATTAGTCTATATTCAGAATCAGGAACCAAAATGTTCACATATCTGTTAGTCTTGTTTTTGGCGACATCTACTGCCTCCATTACTGTCTATGTGGATAATTCTTCACCATTATCCAGTAACTCATCATCATGTGGAGCTGTGACTGAACCTTGTGAAACACTTGACCTTGGGCTAGGTGTAGTCCAGTATCAGAGGCAGCTCGATCCTAGCATTTCTTTTGAGCTCATAATTGCAGATGGTGAATACGATCACTTTAATGCCACTAATGGTGTTTTTAAAAATGTGAGTGGCATAGCCATAACAGGTCAATCAGGTTTTGAAGATATGAACAAAACTAATGTGACTTGTATTGATGATAGCGGTTTCAGTTTTATTAACAGTTCTAATATCACA